CCAGCCTGGTCTACAGAGTGAGTTCCAGGACAGCCAGGGCTACACAGAGAAACCCTGTCTCGAAAAAACAAACAAAAAAAAAAGAAGACGGATGGTTCAGGCTGTGTATCTTCCATTACTGTAAGTCCTAGTACATTACTAGGAATTATCACTGACTAGGGGTCCACCCTGCCCCATGACCTCCAATTCCACTTGTCTCTCCCCATTTTGAATAACAATAAAAAATAAAGGAATAAAACAGCCTTATCTGATAACTTAATATTTAAATATTCTAATTTTATTTGGTGCTCATTGAGTACAGTTCTCCTTCACACAGGTTGGTGGCTGCTTCCACTCTCTTCTGTCCCCATGTGTGGCAGTGGCTTGCCCCTCTTGCCAGTCCTGGTACTTAGGGCTAGAATAGTTTCCCCAGGAGTTGTCTGGTTCTACTTTTCTGGAGCTTCTGTTGTTTCTTGAGCTTAGTTTCTGTGAGGGGAGAGATTTTCTTGAGTAATGATTATTACACCATTGACTGTCACCACAGCCTGTGTAAGACCCTTGTCATCTCATGTCAGTGGCACTGACTCGTCTCTGTTGTGGTTGGGATTCAGGAGGCATGTGTGATCCACCAATGCCTCCTTCGGGTGACGTCAGGTGCAAACAGGTCATGGGTGGGAATCGTGGAGGCAGGAGCGAGAGGCAGCAGGAGGACTGTGTTCAAAGCCAGTGTTAGCATTCTGTCTAAACTCCACCTCCACAGTTATCTGGCAACAGCCAGGTAGGCCTGCCCACTATAAAAGGGGCTGCTTGCCTCCTCCTCTCTCTCTTGCTGTCTTGCTCTCTTGCCCTCTTGCTCTCTAGTTTCTCTCTGTCCCCTCGCCTCTCCCCCCTTCCCTTCCCCCTCTCTCCACGTGGTCATGGCCGGCCTCTACTTCTCCTCTTTCTCTGCCATCTTCTTCTGTTTCTCTCCCTACCTTTGCCCTCTGCCCTGAATAAACCCCCTTCCTTTTGGAACCGTCTGGTCTGGTGGTGTCTGTTTTAAGCTGAACGCCAAAGTGTAACAGCCAGGAAGCAGAGAGACAGCAATGCTGGTCCTAGCTTACTTTCTCCTTTTTAAAAACCTGTGTATGTAACTTGGGTATTCATTTGTCTCCTTTTAGCATGCGAGTCCCAGGGTTGGAAGTCAGGCTATTGGACTTGGCAGCATGCACCATTACCTGCTGAATTTTATTACCCCTCTCTGTTTGCCTGGTCCAGGACCTGAGCCCATGAGAGGATGCCATAGCTTTTGCTTACCAATAGCTCTTCGAATCTTGTCAATCATTTTCTCCAGAGCTTCAAGGCTTCTTAGCTGAAAAAGTGTTTCTTTCTGCTTGTCTGTGGAAAAGTTAAGGACAATGAACAGACACCACAAATAGTTTAACTGCAAGCTTTTTAAAACCAGGCCCACATGGGTCTCAGGGTGAGCATACAGAGTGAGCATATGTTTCGTGTTCATGTTTGTAGCCTGCTGCCCTGTGGTCACCAGGAGAGCAGTGAGCTTATTCAGAACAAATACACGAAGAAACAAGAAATTTAAATAGTGATAGAGCTGTGTCAAACTTTCATTCATCATAAAACCAATGGTGTTGGAGGGCCAGATGGAATGTTTCAAATTCCTGGAGGCAAGAAAATTCTCATAAACCCAAAGCGAAGGCCATGCCACAGAGGGACAGGCCAGTGTTCTCTGAGGTCATCAGAGACACAGTGTACGAGGAAGCAGCCATGCTAAAGACACTGAGGCAATGGATGGTTAGAATCTTGATGGGCTCCAGAGCCAGAAGCACAGTAGAGAGATGGACATGTTTGCATAAGCTGTGTGTGGATGTGAACTCAGGCTCTCAGGAGGAACCTGTGACTTGCATTGAACCCTCTGCAAGGCCGATTGTTAAGCCTGCAGTGATCGTACAGAGGTGAGAATGTCGCATGTCCAGTTACAGTCGAAGTAGGCAGCCTTTAGCTGCCTTCCACTGTGTCTGACCTGACTTCCTTGGAATGTACACACAGTCCCTTAGCTCCCACCAATCCGAAAGCTAAGGATGTCATCAGCTCGTATCTGAGGGCCATGGCAGAGATTTCCTCCCTGGCTGTAGCTGCCTGCCTTGTTTCCATCAATGTGGTTTTTACAGTATCTTGATTTATCTTTTTTTTTTTTTTTTTTTTTTGGTTTTTCGAGACAGGGTTTCTCTGTGTAGCCCTGGCTGTCCTGGAACTCACTCTATAGACCAGGCTGGCCTTGAACTCAGAAATCCGCCTGCCTCTGCCTCCCAAGTGCTGGGATTAAAGGCGTGTGCGACCACTGTCCGGCAGTATCTTGATTTATAACTTACTTTATTCCATTACTATAAAAACATAGTGAAACTGTGGCCATGTCTGAACCTGGAATTTGGAATAACATGAATCTATCTATGTTCCCCAGGGTTTGGACACTCATATTTGACTCCAGAATAAACTCTCTTATGCCCTATAAACTGAGAAATTTGGAATAACCTGAATCTATGTTCCCGGGCTATGGTTACTCATATTTGCCTCCAGAATAAACTGTCTCTTATGAACTGAGAGCTGGGATTTTGTCATCGTTCCTTTGTTTCTGCTGTTGCTAATGTTTTCGTGGGTCATTTAAGGGCTTTCATGAATGTGAATGTCCCCACAATTATTACCACCATTGACTGACCTTGGAAGAGCTGGGAAATAAACTTATGAGCTCTTTGTGATACTTGTGAAGTTTTTTGTTAGCTTAAAATAACGTCACAATGGATGCTATTTTAAGCACCTTGATCTCCTTTTTTTAACCTGTCTCCCTTTTTTCTGATTTTTTTTTAATTTTCTGATTTCCAGGTTCTTTCCTGATCCTTGTTTCCTAGGCAACGTCTACATGCACCTGACCATACAGCAATCCACTTCAGCACTTGGCAAACAAGCATCTTTGTTTCCGTGGGCCATCTTAGCCTGTGGTGGAGGCCGCAGTGTGTTTCCTGCAGCCTCCCTCCTGCTCTCTCCACAGCTTCCAGTCCCATCTCTGACATGAGCACACCAAGAGCTTCTCATCCCCCTTCCCAGAGAGAGGCACTGCTGTGTCCTGAGCCTTGGAGACACTGTCAGGCGGGGGGCAGGGGGAGGAGCAGGTTACTCCACAGGCCACCTACCTCCTCTCAATTTTTCTTTAGGCCTTCTGTCACAAAGCCAAAAAGCCATAGGTATGTGTCTTCTCTGCCACCCATAACCTCTGCGGCAGCCAGTCACGGGGCTGGATCCCCACTTGCCCTACCTGCAGCCCTGAGCATATAACATCAACATCACTGCTGGACATTGCTGAAGCTGCCCCGGGGAGCATGCCTTCTCCGGCAGGCTAGCACACACTCACCACAGCATGTTGTTGCCACACAACACTCCTGGCTGCATGATGCACATCCAGAAAAGTCCATGTGAAGATTAAGCTGACACTAGGAACGGTGTGGTACAGCAGAGGCTGACGTCAGAGTTCCACATCTTACCTTCTGTCCTCTGCTCTCCCTGTCCTCAGCTCTGGGCAGAGGGCACAGCGTCACTTGCAAAAATGAGAAAACACTAGTGGGGGGTGCCTCTGCTGTGTGCTGGAGACCTACAAGTATAGCATCTTTGCCCCCCTCCCCTGTGTTCATGTGTGGGAAAGGTGCGGGTGCTTCTGCTTAGCGGAGCACACATGTGTTGGATCCAAGGTAGCTCTGGGCAGGGGATGCAGGTTGATACATCTCCCAGACACCGAGGGGCTATGACCATCCAAGCCAAGGTCCAAGCTAGCAGGCCGGCCTGGCTTGCCTGTTCCAGAGACTGAGAGAGCTCAGGCAGCCCGCAGGTGCGGTCGGTCGTACTTACAGCTTTGCTCACTCACGTGGTTAAGTGTCTTTTCCTGGAACTCTCCTTTCCCCAGGAAGGGCTCCAGCAGAGGACCTGTGTGCTGAAGCTGAAGATGGCCTGCTACGTTTTTGCCTTGATACACTGACTCTCATTGGTTCACTGGGGCCTAGACTTGGACTTTGTGGGTAGTCCGTGACATGATCATGGAGAGAAACTGCCTGGCCACAACCCATCTCTCTGTGCCCCAGGGACCCGAAATAGGGACTGACCAGGAAGAGGAGCAAAACCCCTGACAAGATGGCACAGCAAAGCAGTTCTTGTCAGATCTCCAGGTCAAAGAAAGCAACCTATGTAACCCTGTGTCGCATCCCTGGATTAGTACAAAGCATATAAGGTGCTGCTGTTGTCTGAAGCTAGCCATCACTCCTGAAGGGGTGTGTGTGTGTGTGTGTGTGTGTGTGTGTGTGTGTGATATGAATGCAGGTGCCCGTGCCGGCCCGAAGAAGGCATTACTCCAGTTGTGAATTGCTTGACACGGGTGTTGGGAATAGAACTTGAGGCCTCTGCAAGAGCAGCAAATGCTCTCAATGGTTGAGCCATTTCTCCAGTCCTGTATGTGATATGTTTGCGAATTAAACTTCCTCCCAGTTTATTCGTTGTCTATCTGAATCCATCTGAGACAGAGTGTGGGAACAACAGATGGAGGTCTCTGCCTGCCTTCCATCTCCCAGACCCGCCTAGCCTTCAACACTGACAGCATCATTTGGCAGACTCCCCAGCAGGGAGCCTGGCAGGGCTATTCAGGGCTTTGCCAGTATTGCTGCTGCTGGAAGCTGGACCTTCTTTTCTTGAATGCTGGCTAGTTAGTTCAGGTTCTGCTTAGGGCTCTACACCTTGCAGCCCAGGAGCCCTGCTTCCCACTCTTGCCACCTTCTTTTTCTAGAGACCCTATTGTCATATCACCAGGGTCGCACACTAGTCTCCAGTGGTCTCCAAGTCTCTTAACCAGGCCGGCCCTCGGTCTCTCTGTCACAAAGTTACAACTCACGCATTTTTACTCAGTCCCCACAGAGGCTGGTCTTTGCTTGGTGGTTAGGAATTACACAATTTCAGTGAGGAATTCAGCTGTACTAATGTGTGCTGTGTGCCCAGGGGCCAGAATAAGTCTCTGTCAGGTCCCAGCAGCTCAGGAACAACTTGGGGACAGAGGGAATTCATGTGGTGGCCCATAGATCAGTCTTTAGGCCTGGGCAGCAATGCAAGCAACATACTGGACTGGCTTGGGATGTTTGCTAACCTCCAGTGGGCAAGCACGTCGTCCCCCATGAGGTGTAGCCAGCTGTAGGGCCTGGGTGGTACCTCAGAATCACCTCTCACTTCTCGGTTATAGCCTCAGATCGCCTCACCCATGAGGCTATTCTCTGTCTCCTAGTCTGCTTTTGCCTGTCACTGTATATAGGACAGTCCCTTCAGATGGATTTACATGCACTCTCTCTGACTCTAGGCAGCTACCAGAAGGATTCTCACCTATTGCTCTAGAATCACCATCATCCAACGTCATCAAACTGACGAGTGGGACAACCTCAGAGGTGTCGGGATAGTCATTTTAAATAGAACCGAGTACATTTTTTATGCCATGGCTTTGTCATTTTGACTGGCCTCCAGCTTTAGCAGCTGGAGAAGCCCTGCAGGACTGAAATGCAGGTTCCCAGGGTCACGCAGCACTACCATATTAATATATTGTTCCCTGTCTTATACCTGAAGCCACGGTCTGGTTCCACATGGGGTCACTCTGCAGACACTGGGCTTGTACACTTTGTTATATCTACTCTTTGGAGCAATGAGCTGTGTCTCTCGTCCATGTCGATGGTAGGAGACTCATGATGGAAGGAGGCTTTCCTCCATTCCCGCCTGCCCCAAGGGGCACTCCATCTGCAATGCTCTTCCTAGTCTAGTCTGTTCTGTACTGTACTGTACTGTACTGTACTGTACTATTCTACTCTACTCAGACTCAGTTGGAAGTCTGGGAGAGGACTCAGCTTGTGTTCCCTCCTGGTAACTGCCCACCCACAAGAAGAGATTTCTTCTGGGCTACCCTGGTCTGGATTATGCAGAGGCAGGCCTACGACAGGTCTTGGGAACTGTGGATGCTGAGCTCCAATGCAGGACACCTGTGACATCCTAAGGCTTGAGACATAGTAGGAAACCTACCTAACCAGACGAAGCAGCCACAGGCTCAAGCAGGAGAATCTGCCCTGCTTCAAGTAAACCCATCCATCTGCACCTGGCTGGCTGAGGCTCCCCAGTTAGGTTCTGTGGTCTGAATAGGAATGGCCCCCATAGACTCACGTATTTGAATGCTTGGTCCAGAGGGACTGGCACTATTAGGAGGTGTGACCTTGTTGGAAGAAGTGTGTCATTGTGTAGGTGGGCTTTGAGTTCTCCTATGCTCAGGCTCTGCCCAGTGTGGAAGACGGTCTCCTGCTGTCTTCAGATCAAGATGTAGAACTCTTAGCTCCTTCTCCAGCACCATGTCTACCTGCACACTGCCCTGCTTCCCCCCATGATGATAATGGACTGAACCTCTGAACCTGTAAGCCAGCCCCAATTAAATGTTGTCCTTTATAAGTGTTGCCTTGGTCATGGTATATCTTTACAGCAATGAAAACCCTAACTAAGAGAGGGGTTCTGCATCCAGGAAAGGGATTGTGGGGTTATATTTACCATCAAAGGAGAGGGTATGCATGGTCCCAGAAGGTGATTGCTTCTGATATCTCTTAAAAGCAGTGGATTCTTTCCTGTGGACTTCTTTGAGGAAAAACATTGAAAGAAACAGGGAAGTGTTTTCCCATTACATGTTTGTAAACATTTTTAGCCCAAGCCCTACACTAGGCTGAAAGGACAATGTCACAGGGTTTAAGTTCTAGTTGAAATTGTGTACTGGAAAGTTAAATCTTTAATTAGTCGGGTGTCACCCAACTACCTTGAGCCTGGTGGTTTGGAACTAGGTAGCTACAGGGTGAACAAACCTTATGACCTAGTCACGTCTGCACAGAAACCTCCCAGGAAGTATTGAACTCTCCTGCCTCTGAGTGCATTTCCCCAAGATCCTCTCCTTGCCACCGTCTGTCCCAGCCTCCATGCCCTGTGCTGCCCCATCTGCTTGCACAGTCTCTCAGTGTAGAGCTGTGCTTTGCAAAGTATGTGCTTTGCCTCTGCCCCACTCTCCTTGGCTTTAGGCACATTACATGCTGGACCGTGGCCACATGGTACTACAGAAGGGCTTCCCTGAGAAGCCCTAGGTGAGCACAAGCAGATGGTATGTGTTAATGATCTAGCTCATTCTGTGCTCCTGCAGTGACGGAACCCTATTCTTATCCTGGGCCTAAGAACATGTATAAATGTAACTCAGAGATCACCCCAGAGGGAAGCAAGCCTCTTCTGCCTTGGAGGTGACTCCCTCCATCTCAGGAAGGCTGGAACAGTGGCCTAGGACCTTGCCTTCTCTTGTGTGTTCACTTGCTCCTGCCCAGATATGGCTGGATCTGCTGTGTGCTCATGAAATAAGGTCCTGTATTCAACACTACAGGCCTAAAGAGACTTGGCAGTTGAGAGGCGAAAGGGTATACTTGCTTTTTCCCGTCGTCGTTTTTTGTTGTGAAGTTGTTGATGGGCTTTCAAAATACGGTGCTTTCCCTGGCTCTAGAATCTCCCGGACTAGGATTTCATCTTGGAAAAAAAAAAAAAAAACCCACACACACAAGAACATGGTATAGAGCCAATGATACAGAGTTGATGTTCTGTGAAGAATTTCAGGTAGCCTGTCAATACCGTGAACTGAAAACTCAGCTTGTGGACAGTGGCCTTACTCTGGGTAATTAATCTGTGGATGCTGTCCATACTGCTGCCTCCCTAAGTTCAGGAAGATTAAGATCATTGGAGTAGCCTCTGCACTCCCTTGTAATCCAGATGTTGATGGTCCCTTGCTGCTCATATCTTAGAAGGTCTGATTCCTAAGTGGTGTTATTGGGAGGTGATGGAACCTCTATAAGAGATGGGGCCTAGTGAGCGGTCTTTAGACCATTGTGGGTATCTACAAGGGAGATGGTGTGATTCTGGGCCCCTTACTTTCTCTCTTGCTTCTTGGCCGTGACGTAAATGTTTTATACACACTCCCACCATGACATGTGACCAGTTGCTCAAAGCAACATAGCCAACCAAACAAGGACTGGAAACTCCAAAACTGATCCCAGATAAACCTTTGATTTTTCTAAGTGGTTACCCCTGGCATTTTGCCACAGTGAAGAAAATCTACCACACCCTTTGAAGTCACAATTCCAAAACCTAGCCCCAGCCCTGATCATTATCCACTTCCCTGTCCCTTATCATTCTGTCCTGACTCTGCCCTCAAGTACTGACAGAACATCTTTTCTCATTTTTTAAACATGCTCAGCTTTTCTTTTGAGACCCTGTATAATGTCTGCGTAGTTTAACTCTGGATAGCCTGGAACTAACTGTATAGACCAGGCTTGCCTTGATCTCAGAGATCCCTGCCCCTGCCACCAAGCGACAGAATTAAAGCCATGCACGTGCCACCGTATCCAGCCAGACTTTCTTCTTTCATTCCTTTCCCAGGAAGTCTCTTACATGTGTCTTGGACTTTGTAGCCAACCAATTCCTGCTCTCATTCTGGCTTTTTCCTCATTCAGATATGAATATGAAGATATCTTCATATCTCTGACCCTCAGTGTACCCTCCGTAAAATGGAGGGACAGTGTGGGTCAGACAATGGTCCTAATCCTGTTGTGTTCCGAGCCCTTACCAGAGTTTTGTAGGAAACGCTAAGGTGAGGCCACAAAGGCCGAAACCCTGGGGAGGGGCCAGGTCCTCACCCCTAGGGACTGTCCTACCTGCTCCTGAGCCTGAGGAGCTGTTCCTCGGCCTCAGGCCTCTCAGTTGTACTACATCACTGTGTCCGGCTAAATGTGGATTCTGATGTGGAAGGCTTGAGCAGAGCTTCATGCAGGGTGTTTGAGACAAGTCTCTGGGTGACAGTGGTCTCTGAACACCACATTAAGAGGCAAAGCTCCAACTGTGATTTTGTTCTGATGGTTATTCTATGACTTAAGGAGTGTAGTCAGCACATACCCGACTGTCTGGAAAAGGCTGGGGGAGTGCCCGTCCCGCCCTCAGCATGGATCAGATATTCCACCTGAAGAGTCCTTACCAAACACTGTAGCTATGTCATCATCCAGAGTTTCAAAATTTGGCCATTGCTTACCACTTGAACCTGACAGGAAAAGGAAACAAAAAATTAAAGAAATCCTATAGTTTTGCAGTATTAATTGATTTTCACCCACCTCTCTGTGACGGACAGTTGGAGAGCCGGCTCCAGTCTACTCTAGAGAGAGGACCCAGCGTGGGGTGCTGCTCCTTCCCATGGGTGCTGAGGGAAGCCCCTGGGACCTGGGCTTCTCATGTGGACCATGGGAAAGGCGTTACCCATGGAGCAGCTGTGTTTGTGGAAACCAGGATTTCCGCTGGCACCCTGAGTAGAGCCTGCCCTCCTGGTCACTGGAGTCACCCTCGAGCGTGGTAAGACAGTGTCCGTGCTCAGGGAAGACCAAGCTCTATCACGGGGACAGAGAAGGAAGAGGGTCACGTGCTCTGTTTTGTAGGAAGCAGCGACTTGCCTCCTGCATTGCTGGTGACATCATCTGAATGGGACTGGGAAGCTCCGGCCTCAGATCCCACCTGAGCAGCCCCAGGCCCGGCTCAGCACCAGTGAGGAGACGCGCTTACCCAGCCCCTGACTAAGGCTTCCCATGTCACCACCCAAATACTTGCTTGTTCTGTGTGAAGACACCTCATATATGTTTTTCTCTGAGAGCCCTGGGTGGCCCTGCACATTCACTGTGCTACCCGAGGTTCTATGGGGCAGACCAGAGACTGGCCACCTCATTCCTCCAGCACCCTTGAGCACCCTTGAGCCTCCAGGGTGATCTGTCTGCAGGTAAGAAGTGGGGTCTCTGATGAGTGGGCTCAAGGGTTCTGGATGGCTGTTGTCTCCAGGGCCCAGGGCTCTTATCTGTGATGTGTGCTGAGCATATGGGGTTTAGCTATATCTGGACTCTGGACGCCATGGGAATTCTGAGGATCGATTTCTTCTCTATAGCATCCACCACTACTCCCTCCTTCTGACATGACCTCTCTAGAAGGGACTGTGGTGTCTCTCGATATGGTACATCGCTTGAGTTTGAGCTCAAGGTTGGCCTCTTCTTCCAGCTCCCAGGTCCTGAGACCCCCAAAGATGGCAAGCAGGGCCACCGTACCTTTCCTTTCTGAGGCACAGAACTCTGTCTGTAAGAACTAAAGTTGCAGCTAAACCAATGACAAAGCTGTTCTCAAAGGCTTTAATGATGGACAATCTGCATCCCAATGTGCTCATCTGCATGGCTCAGAACAATGGGAAATATGTAAGGAGGTCTGTGATGGTGATGACAATTGCTTCTCAGTGTGCTGACCTTGGTAAACCAAACAAACAGTACAGTTTCTCTTCGAGTGAGACATTAATGGATCATTACGAATGGGTACAGCTGCGCAGCGCCAGCACTTTGTTAAAAATATTCTTTTCATCTCCTGTCTGTCCCGTCATCACAATGGGAGCATTGTGAGAGTCAGCCGTGTGCACATGCGTGGTGTGTGTGCCCGTGTCGTCTGTGCCTGTTCATTTGCATTGTCAAGTGTAGCTGCTCTACCGTACTTTTCCTGTTGCCACCTCCTCAGGGAGGTCACAGCTTCTAGAGAGGACACACCCACAAAGTCAGGACACTTGGATGTCCTTCTCTCAGTGACCACGTCAGCACATTCTGGCTTCATGAAGTTCAGTGTTGAATTCTGAGTTCACTCCAGTTAATTGAGTGAACATAAGACAGCCCTTCTCCATCACAAGGCTCACATAAACTGCTATCTTAAGTGGACAGCCCTCCCCATGTGGAAACTGCACAGGCTTATAGTCACAACTTTTCTCCTGGTGAGCAATCGCAGCACCCCAGGAGGGGGTGAGGAGAGCTGTGTTATTTCCCTCAGGGCAATGGAGAAACTTTTCACTGTCCCCTCAAGCTGAGAATGATCTTGGAGGTCATATAGGGCTATGGCCAAATCTCAAGCTAGGGAGCTCTTGAGAGTCATATATGGTACAGCCAGATCTCTTGTAGGGTTTGT